CGAATCGTACGGTGTCGAATAATTTGGTGTCGAATAAATCTGTGTCGAATCGAGCGGTGTCGAATCGTACTGTGGTCAAACGGAACACGCCCCAACTCATGTACGTGTGCGCTTGTCGACAACAATCACATATTGCACACAAACGTGTTCGTTCGATAACGCACATCATTTATCGCACATGAGCAAGTGCGCACATGAGTGTGCGTTTCTGAACCCTGCTTATATCAGAGTTTGCATGTAAAGATCCGCAGAACTTACGGTAGGCTTTGCGCTTCTTTTTTCTTAAGAACCTCGCAACCTCTTTAGAGACCTTGATGTAATTTTCCTGGTTTTCCAGGTTAGGGTGTGACCGGCCCGCTTGATTTCCCGACGCACGGAGATCACGGTCGCCACTTATTTTTTTTTGGGAACAAAATAAGAAAACCTGATTAATTATGAGTGTTTCAAGATGTTGACTCACCGGACGATGGCACGTGAGCCCTTGCTCGTCTGATCCGTGGTATTCTCTCCAGGTGCTTGGAAAATGAACCACTGACTTGAACAACTGTCTTTTGGTTTTTAAACAAAGTTTTATTGGTACAGGATACACTTGTACACTTACAAAGTCTTTCGGTTCGTTTCGATATCGCTTCGCGTAACTTTCGAGCGCTGCTCGTGGTTTAGATGCTGCCTGTGTGGACATCCAAGAGCTACTGACTCTGCGGCGCGACTGACTCTCCCGAGACGCCGCGTCATCCCTTCTCTTTGCTTGCGCATGCGCACTATCAAAAAATGGANTTTTCCAATTGTTGGAGATTTTGGTTGCAATTGCTTACTTATCCATACCTGAACACTTTTGCTTATTTTTATCAACAATTAGACCTTTTTACCGAAATGTGCCAAAATTTAAATGTTGTTACTTTTGACCAAAATCGTCACGTTTCTCTTAGAAAATTCCATTTTTCAAACTAGCTACGACAATTACAACTTTGTTGACGCAAGCATCCAATTGTTGCTTAAATTTAACACGGCGCTTCCCCTAGCACATACTTGCGTACTGACAGAGTTTCGCTAACAATTAATTTTTCTGACTCAAGGTTAGGACCTGGCCTGATTACCCAAGGCAATTGGCCAATATCTCAATTGTGAGCCAAACTTGGCATAGCGCTTTTTTACCCAAAAATCATTTCATGCACGAATTATTTTAAACAATTAAAATTTTGATCAATGTTCGTCATTTTTGCTAAACTTTTACAATTACTCAAGTTCTCTTCGCTTGCCAATTTTTGCCAACAATTAAATTTTTGTGGTTCCCTAATACTCTGAGTTCGCCGCCGGTTGTTTTGGCCAAAACCCAATTGTGCGCGAAATTCACACAATCACACAGTCTGCCCTAGACCCGTATGTACACAAAGCGCCCGCAACAATTACGCATGTTTACCTTAGAACTCTGATCGAAACTTTTCAAGACGTTTAGACAACCCGAGTCCGCCACGCACGCTGAAAACTGACAATCCTAATTGTTGCTAATACTTTGCCAATCGTCACAGTAACACAAACCCAGCTTACTGGTCAAGTATGGCCAACAATTCAAATCGACCAAACTTTTTCTAACTTTTGTTCTTTTTGTTTCAGGTGACTGCTTCCGGATCGCTAGGATGACGTGGACCCGTCCAAACCATGTGGAACAATTTGTCGCAGGTAAGTACTTTTCCTCACCTTTTTTACTAATTGTTTCCGTTATTTTCAGGTTTGAGTTGTCTCAGAGGGACTAACCAGTTGTCGCAGTATTTGGAAAATTTTACCTCCAACTTAACCCGAGTTGGTCGATTTTTTAATTGTTGCTCATACTTTCCCCAAACACTCTAAACTTGTAAACAACTCGACTCCCCAAGTTTAGCCAACAATTAAAATTGTCAACCCTTTTTCAAGTCTAAACTACGAAACGTCAGTACGGCGAGTAACCCCTAACCAACTGGGATTACCCCAAACTTAAAACATAACTTTACACTTTTGATTTTAACTGGTGTGGGTTCTACACACCCCGAGCGCTTAAATGACACAAAACAAAATTATCTGGCTATTTACAGTAGCCACGCAAAAGCCGCTCGCTCTAAACAAAACAAAATAAAATAAAACTTATATAATTTTTGGCTGATTGCCATTTCTACTGTTCCTCTTAAACAGGTGACTCTTCTCAGCCCACGGACTTAGACCTTTTTTCTCTGGATGTCTCCCGGTCCCGATCCCGTAGACTGCACGGAGATTCCACCGTGGCTGCCCGCGGTCTCAAAGGCGGGCGCAAAACTGGGCGAAGGCTATTTTTTTTCGCGAGAACTCCGTCGAGCAAGAAGCATCCCATCACGGAGAAGGGGGTTTTCTGTAGGCCTTGAGTTTGTTGACTCTCAGAGCTCCTGCCTGTAATAACGCGTTTTTAATAAGGTTTGTCAAGTTATTGTATTGGGAGATGGATGGATTGGGAGGAACAGTAGGTCTTGAAACTGTTCCAATCTACCTTTCCAACCGAATAATAAGGGCGACAGGCAGTACGATCCTTGAAGCTGTCGGTAACAACTATGACGACAGAAAAGTGATCACTACCATAGTTGAAATCGCATACTTTCCACGAGCAAAGGGGGGCCAGATACTGCGAGACTATAGTTAAGTCAAGAGAGGAATGACTCGACTGGTCCGAGGAACACCACGTATGGCTGCCATCGTTAAGGACAAAAAAGGGGGAATTAGTAGCGGTTATTACCTAACCGCTTTTTTGATATTTTTCCTCTCTTCATTGGAGTAGGAATGAGAGAAACACCAGAGTAGGCTTTTTCCATTGAAATCGCCGCAGATTATTGTCGGTTGGAAACGAGAGCATATCTGGAAAACGGAGGACTAAAACGTAGTGTCTGTGTAATTGAGTGAGGAGCGTGGTACACTGTAGACTGAAAAAACATACAGAGATTTCAAAATTGCGATGATTAC